TTTAATTTAATAAAAATATATTAATTATAATTTTTTTTAAAAAAAATATACACTTTATTTGATTAAGAAAAAAATGAGTATTAATTCATAGACAGAAATAATATAGGACAAAATTTTAACTTGATTAGAAGATATAAAAATATTAATTAAAAAAATAATATAAGAGTAATTTTAGAAGAAACAAAATATAAATAAGATAATATTTTTATAAATTAAATTAACTACCTATCTTAATATTAATGAAGTAATTAAGTTTTATATATAGGAATACAGATAATATTAAATAAAATTAGTTAAAGTAATATAATTTTAGTTTTATTATATTCTTTCTGTAATTTTATAAACTTATGGTGTAATTTTTTTAATGAAAAATGTTTCATCTAAATTTATATACATATCATTTTTATTTTTTAGTTTCTATCATATATTTTTTATAGAAATTAAAATGAAAAATTCTATACAAAGATCAAAAGAAAAGAAAAATGTACTAAAATAAAATATTTCAATTATAGAAATAAAAAAGTTAAGTTTATAAATTTATAAGAAATAAAAGTGAAATTAAGCATAATTTTATTCATTTACTTTTAAATAATATATATTTTTAAAATAACTTTATTAAATAAGATAAAATTAATTTAAGTTTTTTTTTATAATTAGAATACTTTCTTACTTTTGTCGGAAAAAGAAAGAAATACCAATTCATCTGCTATTCCTCGTTTGGCGCTTTTTAACTACAAAATTAAATTATTCTATTAATATAAATATTAATATTTTTTTAGCGGCGACTTTGCAGTTTTCCGTATTTTCTGGTTTGTATCTGTACTCTTACTTTCGTTGTTCCGAAACCGTGTCTGCAACTCTCTTACACACAACGCATTCTTTTCTCTCATTTTCGTTATTGGATTCTCCTTCAGAATCTTTTCCCCTTTTGGTTCCTTCTCACTTCGTCTCTTTAGTAACCTTCCCACGAAACACGTAACTAACTGGCTTCAGTTAATTCAGCTTTTTTTTTTTTTTTTTCTAGTTCGTGAATTGGTGAGTACATGTATCATGCTTTTCCCCGAACACCAACATGTTTTGATCTGTCATCCTATGTTGCTTCAAAGTGTGTTTTGTGTCTCAACGTGGCTGCTTTACTGGATACATATGTTTTTATTATTTTTATTTATTTATTAATTATTTTAATATTTTGAGGTACCCTTATATGGCAGCTGAGAAATGGAAAGAAAAAAAAGTTGTGGGTGAGTGAGAAGAAGAGGAAAAAATGAAAAGGGTCTTTGCATTTGGTGACTTTCTTGTATAAATCTGAGTTGAGATTCCATTTATGGGTTGGACCTTTTTGCATCATTCTGTTATTGATCTCATCCTTCTGTTTTGTGGTTTCATGTGAGATTGGATGAATAGAAAAATGGAGAAAGTTTCAAGATTTTTGAATTTTAGATTGGTGAATAGAAGAGGAAGAGGGGATTAGGATCGTCTTGCATTTATTTTGGATATTTTGCTGCCTTTCTATTTTGGCTCTTTGTGTCTTTGATTCATTCCTTGTTCTGTGTGATTAGTGGTTTTGGTGAATATTTGGATAGACATGATGGGTGGAAACTGGTGAAGTGGTTGATGGTAAATTATGCTAGATTGATTATTTCAATACGCTGATGTCATTATCCTGCTTTGATTTTTCAACTTGAGTTTTTTTTTTCTTATGAGTGTTATACACTTGCGATGACTTTGAAAATTAAGAGTGAAAGCCTTCAATTGACTGGTTCAAGTTCAATGTTGTGAACCAAGTACCACAGAAAGTTATTTTAGTCTAATGCTAGTGGCATATATTTTTGACTGTTTTGTTGCATGGGTGATGATGGTGTGCATCTTGTGGCAGGTATGTCAATGGATTGGATGATCAATAGGGAACTATAGCACAGAATAGGAAAGACTAGAGATGAAAGAGGAATCAACTGGACTTATCATTGGGATTTCCATAGGTGTTGTGATTGGAATTGGTTTGGCAATTTCTGCATTGTTGTGTCTTAGATATCACCGGAAGCGATCACAGATTGGCAATAGCAGTTCCAGGAGGGCTGCTGCCATACCTATCCGCGAAAATGGCATTGATTCTTGCACTATTCTATCAGACTCAACCTTGGGTCCTGAATCACCTGTAAGGTCTGGGAGAAATGGCATGTCCTTCTGGATTGATGGCTTCAAGAAGAGTAGTAACATGGTTTCAGCATCTGGAATACCAGAGTATTCATACAAGTATGTTTGTCTAATTATGGATTAACTTCATCTGCCGTTCTTCTTGTTTTTAGATGAAGCTTCTCTATATTCTTTAACATTTACGTGTGTTGAGACTATATGAATAATAATTAGCTGTATGTTATTTTTGCATATATGATGTATGAAAAGGTTTGTTCTAAATAAAACTTGAATGCTTCATGGTCTTTGTTCTTTGAAGAGAAACTCCGTGGAGTAACCAAGTAATAAGGTTGGAGCATTTAAATATTGAATGAAGAAACTAAGGAAAGGATGGCTTTAAACTACTATAATTCCATTAATATGTTTGAAATTTAGCAATTTTAGTGACAGCTGCTTGTTTCTTAAACTTAAATCAACTTGTGCAATAGTTTGAACACAGAACAACATATTTGTTTCATGTCATATATCTCTTTCTTGTTTCTTTCTGTTTAATTCTTTTATCTATGCTTCAGGGATTTGCAAAAGGCAACATATAATTTTACAACACTCATAGGACAAGGAGCATTTGGTCCTGTTTATAAAGCTCAGATGTCTACTGGCGAGACAGTTGCAGTTAAAGTTCTTGCAACTAATTCTAAGCAAGGGGAGAAAGAATTTCACACAGAGGTGAACACTAGTTTCTCATTACTTTGGGATGCAAAGTATTGATGTCTAAATATCATTTTGGAAAACCAAAATATAATAAATGCGATGTTTATTATAACCCAAGATAAATTTTTATATGTAACACCTTTATGTTCTTTTAAATTTTCTCAGGTTATTTTGTTGGGAAGGTTACATCATAGGAATCTGGTCAATTTGGTTGGGTATTGTGCAGAAAAAGGGCAACATATGCTTGTATATGTGTACATGAGTAAAGGCAGCTTGGCTTCTCACTTATATAGTAAGTCAGCCACCTATCATTTTTGGTTAACAAACTTTTAAGTCCTAAATTCTTTCCTGTGCAACTCATGACTCATGCCACTTGGGGCAGCTCAATGAATTGGATTAATTACTTATTTTGATTGGCAACTGTCAAAGTTGTTGAATTGGATTGGCTTCCAGTTTGGATTTAGTGATTAATCCAATTGGTTAGGACTATCTGGTTTCTGTAAATTACACAAGTGGCCATGTCTAGATTATATTCATAATTCAACAAATTTATCTGTAAGCAAGATATGAAATAGCACTTTGATACCATGCTCCTATCAATTGCTGTGCATTTTTTTGGCGATTCTTTTCAAGTTAAACTTCCATGTTCAATAATAAATGAAGTCTGTGTACTTTCTGTATACTAAGGTGAAGGGAATGGAGCTCTGGGATGGGACTTGAGGGTTCATATAGCTTTAGATGTAGCAAGAGGTATAGAGTATCTTCATGATGGGGTAAGTTACCATGTGATCTGCACTGAGATGATTCTGCTTTCTCTATTTTGTTATATAATTGTATGACTGACTTCAGGCAGTTCCTCCTGTAATCCATCGAGATATCAAATCTTCCAATATTCTCTTGGACCAGTCCATGCGAGCCAGGGTATGTCATTGCTAATCAACATCTTTATATATAGTTTGTAAAACAGGAGGGTTAGGTTAAATATGTTTTTACTCCCTAAAAATATAGCAATGACATGTTAGAATACATCTAGATATATTCTATCATGTCATGTGTTGTGGTATGTTTAGAGATAATGCTGAATGACTAGGCCTATATTTTTTTAGTCATTTAGTGTTGGTTAGGATGCTTCTTCTTATGCAGTAGTTGTTGTTGCTGAATCAAACAGGTTGCTGATTTTGGACTCTCAAGAGAAGAAATGGTGGATAAACATGCCGCAATTCGGGGTACCTTTGGCTATCTTGATCCTGAGTATATATCTTCCGGGACATTCACCAAGAAAAGTGATGTATACAGTTTTGGGGTGCTGCTATTTGAACTTATAGCAGGCCGAAATCCTCAGCAAGGCCTTATGGAATATGTTGAGCTTGTAAGATCTCTCTCCCTCTCTACTCCTATAAGCTGTATTGAAGATACCGGTTTGAGGGTCTATTCGAGTAAACTTCTCCATAAACACTTCTAGAAGAGAAAAGTAGGAAGAAAAAATGAATTATATTTTTCTATAAACTAAAATTTTATTTTTAACTTATGCATAAACTGGTTTTAGCTTATAAAGAAATTTATTTTCATTTTTCTTCCTAATTTTTCACCTAAAAGTGTTTTTGGAGAAATTTATCCAAACATATTTTTAGTGATTTTTTTTGGAGCGATATATAATACATCACAAGTCATTGCCAAGCATGTGTTTCATCTGTGATGACATGACATTTCACATTGTTCTATCAAAATTCAAAATGCTTTGTTGTAATAGCAAACCACGCTATGCATGTTTCATTGCTTTATCCTAATGAACGCTATTTTATGATGGATAATTAGGCAGCAATGAACACTGAGGGGAAAGTTGGTTGGGAGGAGATAGTTGATTCCAGGCTTGAGGGAAAATGTGACTTTCAAGAGCTGAATGAAGTGGCAGCCCTTGCTTACAAATGCATCAACCGTTCCCCAAAGAAACGCCCTTCAATGAGGGACATAGTGCAAGTGTTGTCACGGATCCTCAAATCAAGGCACCAAAAGAATCATCATCACAACAAGTCACTCTCAGCCACAGCTGATGAAGTTTCCATTGATGTTGATCAGCTAGAAACCAAGAGTTCTATCACTGATCACCGAAGAGAAGAATCCATAGATAGTGCAGCTGACATGTATGATGTGTAGAAGATGGTTATGCATTTAGCTCAGTTTTTTTTTTCCTTTTTTCGTTACATTGATTTTTTGGTTTTTGCCTTTGGATGTGATGTGGTAGTAACATGATACGAGGCACGAGTGATTTGATGATGTCAGACATCATCTTCTGTCAGTCATAGTGTTAACTTGTTCTTTTGTTTCTTCTCATTTTTTTTTCCCTTTCTTTTTGTTTATTTCTCTTACCTCAGGTCTGTTGTCTCGCAGAACTGACACTCCAAAATTTGTATATTAATACTTCCAAAAATGAACTTGAAGTGACAAAAAAGAAAGTTATCTTTCTTGCCCGTAGTCTATTTTTAAACTCTTTTATCCTACATATTATAATCATTTTTATCACACACATCTAAATTTTTATTCAAATTTTTGTACGAGTTATCATATGGTGTGCTAATAATTTTGTTTAAGTGTTTCAGAAATATTTATATCTTATCAGCAGACTAGTTAAGCCCAATCAATTTTGAATGTTGACAAGACATTTCTACATATGAATCAATTTGGTTGGATTGTTTATTAGCATTAGAGTCTTGTCTTTCCCAAGCAAAAAGATAAGCATTTTGTGTCTTTGACAAAGAAGTTCAAGTTTAACATTTCTTCCCAAGAGAAATTGTGATACTCTCTACCCCAACATTAATACACAATAAATATAAATAATTTTTTGAGTAAATAAAATCTTTTATAGTTGATAACATCTTTCATGAATAAAATAAATGTCTCAAATATCATAAGGTAGAAAATTCACATTCACAACTCATAAACCATAACTCTAATGTAGAAATTACAAAAGAAAAGAAACTAAGGTTTTCAAAACAGTTTAATGGAAACAAAATCCTAGGCTAGTCCTAACTAGCCCCTTATGTCACATGTCCTATTAGAGCACACCCAATTGAAGCCTAAACTTTGTCACCAACATCCTCATGTTAATGGTCACCTACAACACAATAAAAGACATGCATAGAGCAAACAAGAGAGTGAGAAACATCTTACTCAGGTTAAGGTGTAGAAATAATGGTTAGGCAACATACATAATTATAACAAACAGACATAGCTACACATTAATCAAGTACAAATTCAAGTTACACATACAACAGTACTGCATACGCAATCATTCATCATGCAATGATGTTATGGACTCAACTCATAGATGCATGCATGTGGCGCCAGTCACATATCACATATCACTGGTATGCTGCTGAAACAACACACCTAAGGTAGTCTTAGGAGTACATGTAGGGAGCTACCCATACACTCTTAACTAGAAGGATGTACGGTCAGGGTTTGGTCGGGATAGCGAAGCTGCGCAAGTTACGTCTCGTGCTCACAAATGGGCGGAATCGAGACATCCAAATCGCACTATCCCCTAGGACTCCCCCAAGCTGTTACACAAGGAGGGCCTTCCCTAACGGTGTACTCCACATTGTACCTGTCACATAGATGCACATGATGCATGTCACACATTCACACTTCATTGACTCATCATTTCACTTGTCATAGTTTCTCATATATCATGTCTCATTGTCGCATATCATCATGTCTCGTGTCTCATATTCACAGTCTCATACAAGAAACTTCTCATAGGCATATACATCAGAATAACACATAAACCATACTAAGAAATTATCTAACATCATATGCATTCAATTCGCAATACATAACATAGGAAACATAAAGGCTATAAACCCAACTTCATGAGTTCACGCATTTTTTTACAACTAGTCAATTAATATAATATTTCAATCGGTCAAAACACTCCAAATATTATCTAAAACACGAATCCATAATCAATTTTACAAATAATGCCTCAAAATTCATCCGAAGATCATATCCCTAATTTTACTTCATAGGATTTTCCACAAAAACTTACAGAGCACTCTAATTCATATCAAAACTTTATCTGTTTTCAAAATCAAACACATATTCACACTCAGTAAACATCAAGGAACATAATAGAAAACTCAGAAGCCAAACTAGAAAACATTTGAAATTTGTCAATTTCTCATAAGGTTTTCCGTATAAACCCATAGAGCACTCTAATCCATATCAAAACATATCCAAACTCAAAATTAAACATACATTCATGCTTAGTAATCATCAAGGAACACAACAGAAAACTTAGAATCCAAAATAGAAAACATTCAAAATTTTCCTGTTTCTCATAGGGTTTCCCATAGGAAATCATAAAGCACTCTAATCCATATCAAGACTTATCTATTCTTGAAATTGAATGCATATTCACACTCAAAATCACACAAGGAATGCAACAAAATAATTAGAAAACAAAACAGAAAACTTTCATAAAGTGTCTATTCCTATCAGGCAAGGGATTGGGGGCCAACAATTATTCTCATACCCTCAAGTGAGGTTTCTCACTCCCCCTTACCTGGATAAGCAAAAGATGAAGTATGTGCAGTTCCCAGTAATCTCCTCCTCCTAGTTCTCTTGAGTTTTCAGAGCGAGTAGAAAATAAATGAGAGACTAATAATAATAATAATAATAATATAAACCCTAAGAAACTTGAAAGGTAAATCCTAACAACTCCTTTCTTAAAAATAATATAAATAATAATAATAATACTATTTAGCAAAAGATCACTATGTCCCTCATTCCCTTCTCATAAAATAATTAAACATATTTTCTCTTTTTAATAAATAAAATAAACATAATTCTTGATAAAACATTTTTCATAAAAATAGTCTTATAGAAAATAATCCAAATATTAATTAAAAATTATTTTTATAATAAAATAGAGTTCACATAAAATAGATAAATAATAAAAAAATATATTTCTCCCTTCTAGTAAAATAACATACGTTTATATAAAAATAGAACTCATATCTACTAACTAAATAATATTAAAAATCCTTCTAATAAACACATTAAAATATTAAAATAAATACAAACATCTTATTAATAAAATACATTTCATGAAAGTTACCTATATATCACTAGTCAAAATAATCATTATAAATCATGTCTCATAAATAAAATAAAGCTTATATAATTAATTAAATAATATTAAAACTCTAAAATAACTGTATTAAATATTAAATAATTTCAAGATTTATTTATATAAAGTATGAAATATCGGGGTGTTACAGAAATGCCTTAAAGACTTGGTTCAGAAGATCAACACTTTGAATTATTTACCAGAAGACTTCATTTAAAACATAGTTTCTGAGAAGACTTGTATTAAAGACTCTATTTAGAAGGCTCGAAGAGAAGGCCTACTCAGAAAGTACCTCATCTGAAGAAAAAGTTGATTGTACCATAAAAGACAAAATACAATGAATTTATTTTCAAAGGTTATAAAGAGTAGACAATGAACTCGTTTTGAAGTAAGTAAGATCAAAAAGAGAAATCAAATCACAAGTTGTCAAGCCGTAATCCTTACTTCATACTCTAATTCGTTCAAAGATCTCCACTTTAGTACTTTGCATCAATCTTATAATAGAAAAAAAAAAAGAAGTGTGCATCTTCCTTAGTGAAAACCCCATTATATGAGAACTTGTTGTAATCTTAGTAGTGTGCAAGGTTACAAAACTCATTATCGTTAAAGGAACCACTACACGTGTGTATAATCTTAAACCAGGTGATTGTGAGATTTTTTCTCAACAAGTGGTTGGGTAAGGAAATTTCAGCATGTGGCTAAGTGTTGGCTACTAACAACAAGTGGCTAGATAAAAGTGTTTGCGTATCAACAGGTAATTGAGTTATTCTTAATCACCAGTTGACTGTGATAGTAAAAATTTCACAAGTTTATGTGGAAAGATATAACCTAGTAAGGATGAATCAATATGAAATCTTTGTACAATTTCTCGTATTCTATCTCTTTACCTGCTTTATTTACTTGCATCAGCTTATATTCTATTGTTGTATAATTTATTTTAAAAATTAGTAAGCTCAAACTATTTTCAAAATAATATTTTGAGTTTTAATACTGAGAAAACTCGCCTTCTAAAGAACATAATTTTATAAGAAATTGATTTTTAAATAATAAAACAATTTAATTATATTATTGTAATCTAATATTCTCTCCGTTTATTTCAAGTGGGTCTCCTCCCTTAATCAAGCTTTTTATTGGTTCAAAAGAATCCAACTTAAAGTCTTATTTAAAAACAAATTAAATTTAATTATATTAGGATCAATAATTTACTAGTACTCAATAAAAATAATTGACAAAGATCATAAAATTTCAACTTAATAACAAAGAGGTTGCAAATGAGATTAGTTAATTTTTAATAATAATAATAATAATAATAATAAAATAGTTTATGATCAGAAGGAATTAATTCCTTTTATCATAATTCATCTTTTCCAAAATGCCACTGAAATAAATATTTATCAACTTAATTAATATCATATTTATATGTAGTTAAATTTATAAAAAGAGTTGATAAATTTTAATTATATATCATTTGAAAAGTGATCGACCAGTAAAATTTAATTTAGTTGGTTGAATAAATATACATGAATTATTGTAACTTAATTCAATTCTTATAAATAAAAAATATGATAATTGATCGAAATCATAGATATGTGATGGTTCTAAAGTATGTAATAATTTCTCATTGTCTTGGTTAAATAATAATAATAATAATAATAATAATAATAATATACAACTTTAAGTAAGAAATAAAAATGAAAAGGGTCGTTCAAAATTTGGTCTTAGACGTCGTCGTTTTGGTTGTCCTTTTCAGCCTTTTCCCTTATTCCCTCTACTCTTCTTACTCTCGCATTGTATTATCCAAAACCAAAGCCAAAGCATTATCAGAAGCAGAAAGAAGAAGAGGTTGCAGCGACAATGGCAGCCATGGCTGCTCTTCAGAGCTCAATGACCGCTCTCTCCCTCTCTTCCAACTCTTTCTTAGGCCAACGCTTTTCTCCCGCCACTCTCTGCCCCCTTCTTCCGGTACTCACTCATTTCCCCAACTTCTTTTATTTTTTTCTTTTTCAATTCAAGTTTCAATTTTTATCACTGCACTTGCTTTTTCTCCCGCAATACGCAAATGGGTCTTTTGCTTTTACCAGATGTGATTTGCCCCCCGTTAAATTTGAAGATGTTGTTAGAATATGTTTATCCACTTGAATGACTACTTATTTCACATGAATCTTCCATTGGAACATAGTTGGTATGGTACTACGCAGATTGAATATAAATTAAGATGTTCTTTTTGAATAAATTTATCCATAATTACTTGTAAAAATAGAAAATGTGGAAGAAAAATGAAGTAAAATTCTTCCAAAAGCTAAATTTAACTTATGCAAAAGTTAATATCAGGTTTAGAGAAGTTAATTAGAGAGAATATTTGCAAATTAGTTTATGCATAAACTAATATTAGTTATAGGACGTTTTTTTTTTCTTTCTTTTCCTTGAAGTACTTGTGGTGTAGTTTATCTCAGCAGGACTTACTTTAGTCCCTATGGGAAGGGGAAAAAGAATCAATTAGTGTTTCTGAGAAAGCAATTGTGCATTTTCTGATTGAAGCTATTTAATTGGGCTTTGATGCCTAGAATGGATACTCCCGTATTGTATTCGTATTCAGTACTGATACTTGTAAAATATTGCTATACTGCTACATGAAAAATTTGAGATAAGAATTCAAACCTGGTTCTCACTATTCACTAATTACCTACCTCAAAGCATGTTTTCACTCCTTATGGTGGAAAGGTAATTTGGAGATATGTTCATTTATTTGGTGCTTGTCTATGTGGTACTTTTTAAGTTAGGAATTGTCTCAGCAAACTTTTCAGTTGAACCTGTTGCCTACTTGCCTTGTTATGCTGAAGAAACATGTTCTACTGATATGGAATGAAACTTTAAACTTGTAGCTCTTCTTCTGACTTTGGATTAGTTGTTTTACAATTTTATTATCTTTCTTTGTCTGTTATATTAACTCTCTCGAACTTTGGCATTACAGAAAACAAATGCGTATCATTTTTAACGAACATTTTTTAGTCATGCCGTTGCTATGATTTTCTGTTCCTCTTAGTGCGTATTTGGTTCAAATTATTTGAATATTTAGTTATTTACTGTGCTTTTTCTTATTAATATAATCTTTTAAAATAGAACCCTCTGGATGAGCTGCAAATTTTTAGATACTCTTAATTTCTTTTGCCCATCATTTTGTTGCAACTTACAAGAGTGCTTAATGTATCGTTAAAATTAAAAACTACAATAATATTTTGTCAGACGAATGAATTGAATGGTAAGGATAACATAAACCAAGTTTGTAACTAAATTTCATAAATCCTACGGATGCAGTACTCGAGTTTGTAGACTAACTTGATAATTGATATTATTATATCTTTTTTGATATGCAGGGTAAGTCATCAGAGAAGCAATGTCCTATTGTAATGAGGGTTAGTATCAGATTCTTTCCTTATCCATGACTAATGATTATTCTTTTCAGATTTTGTTAAACTCAATCAAAATGAACCAAAAAGTTGATAATGAAATGATAGCAGCGCATGTGCGGTTGCAGTCATTTGCAGTTCATTGTTTATTAATGATGATACTTGGTGGCACATAAAAATTAAAACAATCAATTTGATTATGGTGAGAGCACAATTTGACATGATCCAGTCAATGCTTGTGATACTAATGATCCACAGTTAATATAAAAAATCTACTAATTTTGCGAGCTTTGTATTTAAAAAAAAAAATATTCTAGAAAAATATAGCACCTTAGCTACTTCAGAGATATGGAACTTTCTCATTCATGAATAGTATATAGAACTTAACAGTTAACACCGAGTCTGGATCCGTTTTAAAGTGTCTATACAATGAGGTATGAAGTTTTCTCGTGTTTTTAAAGCTTCCCTAATTTTATATTGTAAAACAGCATAAAAATACAGTTATGGATCAACTCAAATATGTTGTGTAGCCAGCCTTGTCTTGTGTAATAACTTTTCTGGTTCTCCTCTGGCAGCTTAAACGATGGGAACGAAAGAAGTGTAAACCAAACAGCCTTCCTATCTTGCACAAAATGCATGTTAAAATTGGAGATACAGTGAAAATCATATCTGGACATGAAAAGGGTAAAGTTGGGGAGATTACTAGAGTCTTCAAGCATAACAGCACTGTTATAGTAAAAGATACAAATTTGAAGACAAAGCATGTGAAGAGTAGAGAAGAGGGAGAACCAGGGCAAATTATTAAGGTTGTCTTCATTTCCTTTGTTTCATAGTTATAAATTATTTTCTTCAAGAAATGAAAGTTTTCACTGGTTATGCTAGTACTTTCTTTGAGATTTCATTCATTGGTTATGATTTATAAGAAGAATAATTCTCCTTTTTATCCATGAAAATTCAACATGGTATTAAGAGAGTTTACAATATTTATGCACCCTGATCAACCAATTGAATTAGATTTCCTTGATTTATAAGAAGAACAATTGTTTATTGGTGCATACGTTCATTGAATAATACTAATGAGATTATCTGCCATATTCTGACATATCTTATAAGATATCTGAGATTATCTATAGCATATACCATAAGATTTGTTAGGAAATGCCAAATAATCTCATTAAATACTTTTATGAAACATTTTTTTTTTTTTAATTTCAGATTGAAGGTGCTATCCACAGCTCAAATGTGATGCTCTACTCCAAAGATCAGAATGTAACAAGCCGTGTGGGGCATAAAGTCCTTGATAATGGTAAAAAAGTCCGGTACCTTATAAAAACTGGAGAAATAATTGATACTACAGAGAATTGGAAGAAACTGAAGGAGGCTACTAAGAAAACTGAAGAAGCTGCTGCTGCTGCCTAGTTTTACTCATGTAATTCATTGATTCACTAGTACTGTAACTCTAGCTGTACTTCTTGTGAACTTATTTTTTTTTCCATTTTATTATCTAATGTATATTTTTAGTCTGTCTGTTGATTTCCACATAATAAAACATGGGTGATTAAATTTGTTTGTCTGTTGGTTTTGACTTTGAGAAATTGAGTTTTTCTATAGAGAAATTGGTCATATAAATGCAAAAAAATGTTGACCCACCCGTAACCCGATCCGAGAACATGCATTTCACAATTCCATTTAGTGTATCATGTGTGCAAATATATTGAATCTCTTTTTTTTCTTTTTCTTTTTTTCGTTTCTTACTTTCTTTACCTCTAGGATTTGCCCTTCTTCATGTTCACAATTCTATTTCTCTTTTAGAGGTCATGTTTAAATATAAGTTCATAAGTGTTTTCAGAGTTTCTTTACTTAAAAAATATTCTTTATTTTCAGTAAAAAAAATTCTTAAAAAGCTATTCTAGCTTTATCTAAACATACGCATATTTTCGTTTCTACCTGATACCAATCACTACTCTTCATCTCATCATATTAATAATTCTGTGAATACTAGTAAAAAATAGGGAAGTCAAATAATATTTGATTATTAAGACAAATAATATTTTTGCATTTATTATATATTGTTCTTTTAATTACATACCCATAAAACATAAAAGATGCATGTGCACTAAATGTAAATATAAAGTTTCCTTAAAGACTTTTTATAAATACAAAATTTAATTAATATTTTGTTTCTCTTTTCATCTCACAATTTGATATAAATAAATGAATTAAGTGTTTTCTTTATTTTTTTTATATCTTACTAAAATTTTTATATAATTTTTGTCTTATAAAATAAACAAAATTTGATTTTCATTCGTTTGAAATTTGAAGTCATTCTTTTTTGTATTTAACAATTCTTATAAATAAATAACATTTATTTTAAGAGTTTATAAAATAAAATAAAAAATAGAGGAGTCACACATTAACATAGGTGACATAATTAAGTCAATTGTGGTAGATCCATACTTAAATTGTTCTACCTTGACATAGTACTATATTTCTTTTTTTAAGTGGCAAAGCTTGAAAAATAAAATTAAGTTGTCTATGCCTAACTATCTTATAAGGTCTAATGTTGTCTTATACCTGACTTGGTTGAAACATGTCTAACGTTGTGAGTTGATAGGAGCAAATTACTTAAACTGTTCACCTTAATTATATGTGATCTCTAGTTGGTATGTGTGAGAAATTGACAATGTAATAGTTGTTAACACATGTATGTTGAGATGTTGATTATGAATAAGTTGATAAATGTTGAGCATGTTGTAAGCTATGAGTTATACTATCATTGATCTATAATTTTGTTGTTTTAGTTGTATTATTACATATTATTTCTTTCATAAGCTTATCTTCTTTTTTTTTGTGATTGAGACTGCAATGACTATATATACTTGGCATATGTATTTTATAATTTAGTTGTATTATTTTATATTTTGAAACTCTCGACCGAATATATAAAGAACATTTTATAATTGTTTAGTTATGATATATATAATATATGTATTAAATTTTATATGTTGTGTATATTTCAAATCTTTTACTTTATATATGTTTTCATTTCTAATTCATGTTGATTTTTTCCAGTAATAAGTATGATGAGATCGTTACATTAAACACTAATAATAGAAAAAAGATAAAAGAATCTTCGCTTCACGGTAGAGTTTCAAAAATTTAAAATGGTAACAATAAATTGTCCAAACGGGCAAAATTTGAGTAAAGTATTTTAATATTAATTTTTAATTGAAAAATAAAATTTCATCTCATTCATTTGATAATAAATATCAACAATAACTATTTTGTATTGAAAATTAAAATTAATTTTGCTCCAGAGATCGCAACTATTGCAAGATGGTTGACTCGCTATTAATATATAATATTCTTATACAATATTATCATTATTTTTTTTACAAATATTATCATTATCTACCATCAATGGGTCAGCTTTATTAAAAATTTCATGCGCATGCTCAAGTTTGATCATCATTATCTTATATCATATCTTAATACAACCTTCTTTTTTTCTTCATGTGCAGTATTATCGGTCTCGTTTTTAACATTATTAAATTATTGTTGATTTGGAGTTGTTTTAATAAATAATATTTTATATAAATGATATTATATTACTATTGATACTATTTAATATACCTAAATTTTATTTTTATGTTGCTTAATTATATGATTTAGCTATATGTTAAAAATAATGTTGCACAAATGACAGTAGTAATATAACTATTATTATTATTATTATTATTATTATTATTATTATTATTATTATTATTATTATCACCATTATTATCATATGTAGTATTTATTATTTCCATTGATGATATTCACCATTATCATATAAGTGATAATTACAAAAAAATGAAAATGTGATAATAAAAATTATATAAATAAATAATAGTGATGTTAATAATTATGAAAGAAATAATAGTAATAATTTATATAAAAAATATTTATAATTAATATTTAATTTTAATTATTGATTATTTTTATCAATAATTTAATAGTTATAATTTAATTTTCTTATTATTTATGTTGGCCTTCTCACACCGAACATCTTAGATGCCTGCATATACTGCAATTATTCATCTCGTTGTCTGAAATCCAAATAAGAGATACCGAATCTCAAATTTCTCTTCCTAAATTTTGAGCCTTTTCCCCCTTATTAAAGTTTTTTTCATTTAACCAATGCAAATCCAATATAGTAGAGAAAGTTGTTAATCAACATTAGAATTTCCAGTAAAAAGAGGTTTCTACGTTTTTTGTCATATTGTGTTTTAAATTTGTCTCCCAAAAAAATATTTATAAGAAACAATAACAGAAATCACTTCAACTTTTTTTTTTTTTTTTATAATAAAAAGGTGTATTTTTTTTTCATCGTGTCAAACTCTTATAAAGATAAATTCATATTTTTAGTCACAACTCCATCTTCAATTTGGTATTGAAACCATATATTTGGTTAAAGACTTTACAACTTAAGGGTTGAAATATTTTTACTCATAACTTCTATAACATCTAGACATACTTTTATTTAATATAGCTATTTTAACTTATATATATAGAGAGAATTATATTAAATATTTTCAATTCAATTATCTAGCTTATTATTTTTCAATTATCAAACATGTAGATCAAATGATACTAGATATATTATTTCATTTAAAATTAGTGGTTGTTAAATATTTGAAATATGGCTTTTTCATTCGTAATAATTTGTCTCCTATGAAACATGTGTTTGGTAAGTTATTTTAGTAGTTTATAAGAGTTTTAACACCCTCAAATTTAACATCTCAATTTTAAAATGTTTGTCCGTTTTTAGTATTAATGATTAATTCCACAAATCAATACAAGACTTTTCAGCATATTTTGTCTTCACTTATATATTTTGGAAAATTCCCCAAAATGTCACTCATTTTTAAATGTCAAATACGTTTAACTATAAAGTTCTTATGTGATGAAATACCAAAAAGTAAATACATCTTATTAGTATAAGTAGTAAAGATTAATTTATTTTAATTATTCTTAACTATACAATCTCATACATGTATAATCTTTAGATTTCTCTCATTCTGATGTGTTAGGAATGTTATAAAAGCAATAACCATGATAATTGCTTAAATGTTTATCTTATTTTATTTTATTAGGTTTCGCATTGTCATATGGAGTTGAAGAACCTTAAGAAACTAGTGTTGGATGTAATGAGTGCATGGAATCATAGACAAAGGACTGATTTCGTCATAATAATCTAGAGTATGAGTGGTCTAATAGGAATATGAAGTTATGAGAAGGAGCTAAATGGGATGCATATGTAGTGTTGTACAAAGCCAAAGGATGTCTGGTGAAATATTAATGGATTCAGGCTTGTGAATAAAAAAATATTCTATCAACTACGGTAGTAGTTCAGCAACGAGACCAAAGGAAGGACCCTACAAATGGGTTGCTTAAATGTAACAAATTAAGATGCAGATTTGTTCAAGGATATGAATTCCTTTAGAGTTGTTTTTTGCGTTCGAAACCATACAGGTCGTTCATTATGACAGGAACTAAAGTGTTTTAATTTGTCCATGAACCTCATGAGTGTGAAGCGATCACGATGAAGGAAGCTTTGAGCATGGTTAAGGAGCTTGGCTTGGAGAACGTAATATTTGAAATTTACTATCGACATGTAGTGAGCAATATAAACAAGGCTGTGATTTCAAAGGTTACTATACCTTTATGTCTTCTTTAATAAATTTTAATAGAATTGTGTTCAGTCTATTTTTATATATATAAAAAAAAAGTATGACATTTTCACATTGCATTTAATGAATCCGCAACACATTTTTATTCCAATCAATGGTTAGATTTAATTTTAAGCAATTATTAAGATCCTCACATTTTTATATATATTTGTTTTATTGAAGCAATTCACTGAAATAATATTTCATTGTAAGCAACTGTACCTAATTATATTGATATGGTGCTTAAAATTAAGCAACGCACAATGCCACCTATTTTATCTCCACTTGAAAAAGAAAAAAAAAAAAGATACAGTATTTTAAAATACTTTGGAGATATAACTATTGTGGATGTTTTAAATTACTTTGACTAGCTCATCAACTAGTTTGGCCAAAATTATACTATAAATGAAAATTTGCTTATTTTAAAAATTATTTTCTGTATGAAAATTAATAAAAAAAAATAAATACCAAAATTTTAACAATTATCAAATAAAACTAAAAAAAATTATACATTGAATATTTTTTATATAATAACTTCTCCGATATACTTATAGATGAAAATCTTTTTACATGAAAAAAAATTCTATATAAAAGTCTAACGAAAAGAAATCATGAATTAGTTTTTTAAGAATTATCAAACAAAACTATAAAAAAAAATCATATTTAACATTTTTTACATAATCAGAAAAATAACCATCTCCAAACGTACTCTTGAAAAAACATAATCCAATCAATCATGATCCGAAAGTGTGCGGTTGAATGTGGACATGTGAAATTGTGAATGTCGAGACATGTACTGAGTTCATAACATTTGGCAACCATGCACGCAATTCGTAACATTTGGCAACCATGCAAGGATACTTATAATAATGCATGTTGTATAAATATTTATAAACATAATATATTTATTGGTTCAAAATTTGAATAATAAAAGAAAATAAATAAAATAAAGTTTGATGGAAATCATGCGGCCGTTGATATATGAATTCGTACCTTTTTGTTGAATTTCTTTTTTCTTGGTACTAAAATTTCTGTTAAAAGAAAAAACTTGACTAAATTACCTGGTTTTAACACAGATATCTTATTATCTTTTATATATATATATATATATAATTACTTTAATATATCAATAATTTATTTAGCTGCACCATGCAACCAGTAGTATAAGGAGAGAATCAATTGATTATAGGCCATAGCCACATCTAATCTAATTGACACTTGGTATATAAAGGTCTCCACTAGGGTGTTGTTTAGTTTATTGGTAGCAAGAGGAGAAAAAAAATGGAGGAAGCACTTGAGACGATGATGAACAAAGTTCAAATTTCTTCTTCTCCTGCAACATACTGTGTTACTGGAGGCAAAGGTTATCTTGGTTCATGGCTTGTGGAGACTCTTCTTGAAAGAGGCTACATTGTTCATGCCACTGTTAGAGATCCTGGTTAGTGACCCTTTAACTACTTTCTTTTGGTCTTCCTTCTCTTTTTAAATTCGTATTTATTCTATTTTTATCATGTCATTTATTACATTTATATTTATTTTTATACTTTTTTTCATTTTTCTTTCAATCACTCTTCTTACAACTAAGATCCCCCACCAAAATGGGGTGATGGATCTTGAGTATTTCCCTTGAGAAAATATTGTATCAGTTAATAATAATTATCTATAAATGTTTTGACTTTATCTTGTTTTAATAATTTAATGTACCAGAAAAGTCGCTACACTTTCTGCCACTGTGGAAGGGAAATGACCGATTGAGAATTTTCAAAGCGGATTTGAATGAAGAAGGAAGTTTCGATGAGGCCGTGAAAGGTTGTGATGGCGTTTTTCATGTTGCAGCTTCAAAGGAATATAAGGTGGATGAGACAGAAAACATTGGTAATGTCATCATCTATGCTTTTTCAACCAAATTTCGAAGTACATAAAGTTTATAAGCGTTTTTAAGAATTTTTTTTATTAAAAATAAAGCATATTTTTTATAATAAAAATATTCTAAAAAAAAATACTTCTAATTTTATGTCCAAACAGATTTTATCACACTTAAATTAAACTTGTATCATGTGTTGAACTTGCAGAGGCTTATGTTCAAGCAAATATAATTGATCCTGCAATCAAAGGAACCATAAACGTTCTAAAGTCCTGCTTGAATTCCAATTCTGTGAAAAGGGTTGTTTACACATCTTCAATGAGTACCATGAGTGCTAAAGACAGCAATGGGAAGTGGAAACCTGTTGTTGATGAATCTTGCCAAATCCAAACTGAACATATGGTGAAAACACAACCAATTGGGTGGGTAAGTAATGCTTTCCCTGACTAGCTTTTTTTTTTTTTTCTTTTGCACAAAAAATATGAGATTAGAAATTTGAGTTTATTTGTATATAAGTTATAATTGTTTTTCAGAGTTTCTCTATTGAAAAATGATAGTATTTTTTTATAAGAAAATTTTTAAAATCCCTTTTAAACTTATATCTAAATAGATTTTTAGAATTTTGTGCAAACTATTAGAAATTTTTACCACTAGATTGACTTTAGCGAGTTCTTTCCCTGACTATCTTGCATTTGTATAGTGTGTGCTTCCTTTTGAGAGTTTCTTTCACTGTGGCAGGTTTATGCACTTTCAAAGCATCTAACAGAAGAGGCAGCATTTAAGTTTGCTAAAGAGAATGGCATTGACCTTGTGTCAGTCATAACAACCGCTGTTGCAGGCCAATTCTTCACTGCTAATAACGTACCACCAAGTGTTAAAGTCCTACTGTCACCATTAACAGGTTATTTAAGCCTTCAATGTATGTATATATAATTGGTACAATGTTGTTCATCTAGAGCCATTAAAAAACATCAACATATGTGGAAACTACTAGTTGTCTCATTCGTGCAAGAAAGGAAAAAATGAATGATATATTACTATATATAATAACAATGTGACTCTTTCAAGTGAAAGTAGTTTAGGTTATTTACCATGTCATTGTGTTTGACCATATTGACCTTGCATGAATAGGTGAACCTGAGTTCTTCAAGCTACTATCTTCTGTAAATGCACGAATGGGGTCAATTTCTGCTGTTCACATTGAAGATATATGCAGTGCACACATATTCCTAATGGAGCATTCTAAAGCAGAAGGTCGATACATATGTAGCAGCCAATGTTTTCCGATCTCTATGTTGGCTAATCTTCTTGCCAAAGAGTATTCCTACTCAAACAAGAAAAAGTACTGTTCTTCCCTTTAAACTTTTTTTTTTGTTTTTTCAATTTCTTATGTTATTTTTATATACACATGCAGGATTGCTGAGAAAAATTGTGATAAAGTTCCTTCTGACATTTCCTCAAAGAAATTAAAAGATTTGGGTTTTTGCTACAAGTATGGGCTTGAAGATATAATCCATCAGACAATTATTTGTTGCCAAGATTATGGTTATTTACCTCCAATTATACAATAGTTTTTCAAAACTGTTGTACATGATTTTAAGACTTGTCTTGTTCTATGATCACAAAAAAATAAATGAAGTCATATTTTCAAAGTTATTTCCACAACTTTCAAGGTCACAGTAACTTTCAAGGCTCGGAACACTCCTCAATTACTTAAATGTCTGAATAACACATTACACATCACAACATATATATGATATTTCATAAATAGTGCTTTATTTGATTATAAATACATTTATTTTTTACCTAATTTTGTCATTAATAAAATGATAAATGAAATAAACAATCAACATATTAATTAATCATTATAAATACATCTACCAATTGAATCATAGGTGTAGATAACACCTCGAATTTATAATTGCTTGCAAAGTTTGTAGTACGCGCATAATTACACAAATGTTAAAATATCATGTCTTAGTATATGTTGCTTCGAAAATATTTGGTTTGATTTCAAACCATATTTATTTTCTACCTAATTCTGTCATTAATAGTATAATAAATTAAATAACTAATCTACATTTATCACACATGTCAATTTCACAGTAGCTTTCATTTAGAGTACATGTTTGAATTATATAAAATTTCAAATAAGATATTTCAATATACGATGCTTGATAATTATTTAGTTCGATTATAAATTTTATTCATTTATTTTTACCTAATTTCATCATTAATAATATAATAAATGAAATAAAAAAATTAATATTAACCACATGACAAAATAAACTATTAGCAATAACTACATTTTATTATATACATTCAAACTTTGAATATAAAATTATTTAAACATATATGAATATTAATTCACAGTCATTTTTACACACACGTATATGTGTGTAAAATTAAGAATACATTAAAAGTATTAAAAATATATATATATAT